ATTTTGTAAAAGTCGGTCACAGGTAGTGATGTCATACGTCAACATTATTGTACATATTTGGTAATTTCTTTGAGGTGAATGATGTAGATTTTGCATATGTTTTATACATTTTTTCACACAATTAATTTCCCTCTGGATATTTGTCAATGTTCAAAATGATATCATACCCAAATATAAGCCACAACATGTATGAACGAACCTTTGATAATCTCCTGTTTGTTTGAACATTGTTTACATAACAATTGATAGGTTTGTAGTGTCGAATACGATATTTCTTTCCTTTGGACAAGTGTTACAAGATGAAGCGTAAAGGTAACTGCAGCATGTACGTATTTCTTGGGATGTGTAATAGTCAATATCATAAGTTCATATAACCAATGTCTTTGAATAGCTGTTTCATTTCATTTTAAAAATAAAACTGAATAGATCTATATTACTTTAACAAAATGGATAATATTTTTCGTAAAAAGATATGCACACATTTCTGAAAGAATTGTCTTGGTCTTGGAATTATTTTGTTTGTCGTTTGATACACAGAGCCGTGATATCTAACGATTCGCCAGGTGCTTGTTAGCCACAAACAATTTTTGCATTATATAATCAATGGGTTCATTCTTTTTTTAATATTGTAATCACAGGATATTAAACTGTTCACTTTATTTCTCCAGGAATTGTAAAATGTATAAAAATAAAACCCATGCCAAGTACCCTAACTGTTGGAACCTGACAATTCTATACCAATAGAGCTTTCTTCGCATCTTTTAGTGTGTAATTCTGAGACGAGATGAAGAGAAATAATAACAATATCTGTCCAATATTGAATATAATTTGGTTGTTTTGAAATATTCTTTTGGGTATTTCATTACGTAAATTGATGCCAAACAGGTGCGTGTTTGTCCAATTAAGACACGATAAACTAGCTACATTCTTACATATTCAAGACATTTTTTAATTGGTGAAAGCAGTCATTTTATGTTGTGTCGAAAAAGGGTCAAATTCCGTTTTACACATCTAGATTTTCCATATCAAGAGCGAAAATTAGGGGAGATATATATTAATAAAAATACCAGGGTCATCTTTCTCCGACGTTATGAAAGACATAAAACCAGCCATGTCGTCAAATAGAACGGTGTTATTTTGGGGGGTATTTCATTACATTTGATGATAAGGCTAGTGCTCCATTAATAATGGTGCAACATTAGTCAAATTACACTTACACATTCAGGAGAATGTTGGAATCTTAGGACTAAGTTATAGGTTAGATAGGGCCATCCATTTCTCTATTACCTCTTTTTTATAAGCACGATTTCATCATTTCTTATGGGTTTTTTTTTACAACTAAACGTATACAGTTTCTTTATCGATATTTGTGTTGGAATAGTTTGGTTCCTCGGAAACAAAACACCAAGAAAATATATTATCCTTACCCACAGCTAATTCTCACAAAGTGACCTGAGTTACAATAAACTAGTGCTAAGCTTAGCGGAGTTATGCCCCCTTTTCTTTGTACGTGTGTAACCTCTCTGTCGCCTTTTGACGTCATAGAGAAAAATCAGTTTTCGTCATTTACGGCAAGCTATTTTTGGCATTGCATGTTTGTCGTTCTACATACGCATATAATTTTTAAATTTGAAGTTTACACGATATAAGGCTTTTCCATTGGACGAGAGGTCGGTCACATGACCGCGAAATTGATGTTCATAAGTGTATGAACGACACAATTTGACGTTCATACGTTTTTCATGAGACCGTGTTCTTGAAATGACGTAAACACTGACAGACTACTTCCACATTCCTGGGGAAACCCCTGGGAATTCCCTAGCACGAAAACATGCATAAGCGTTCTCTCTGATCATTTGGAACCTTTATTCTTGGTCTCAGCGTTTCAGTATACTTTGAGAAATGTCAGAGAGCGTGACTGCATGATTGTTCACGAATATCCTCGCTACGGCCCATCCTAATGAACAAACGAAGAAATGCACATCTAAACTATCGTAGTATCGACTCGATCCGTGCCTAGGCTGACATTGACCGTCTCCAGCAATCTATGAATTTACCTTTGTGTCTGTTTGACGCATGTTTATTCACCTTTCAATGATCGGCCAGTTGATCAATGATGACTAACACATGTAACCGCCAAGGGTTCATCAACAACTTCGGAAATCTCTCCAGTCACGTTTATCGTGTCGACCATTTTTTGACGTCTTGTACTTGATGTAAATGTATTACGACGCACTGTCATTGTGACTGACTTACTGAGGTAGTTCTTTACAGGCCTTTCTCATCTAATGAGGATATGATTTAAACACTTGTGCTGCGTAAGATGTTTCTGGAGAGCAAGTTGTGCATCCATACGCCCATGTCACCTCTCTTTTGAGGAACTATTTTACGCCGCAATATAGCTGGATGTTGTATGGCTGTTTGTGTAAACATGAAGTCACACGTACTTAATAAAATTGTGTTTAGATCTTAGCCTACATCTTTTGAGGTAAGAAATTGTGATAAAAAATTTATAAGAATTGACCTTCACTTTGTGTGAGTTCATTGGAGTGTGAACCTTCATAGAGTGAGGGCCAAACATTGTATGAACGTTGTCGCAAGCTCCGACGTTCATACAGTTTGGCCCTCACTCTATGAAGGTTCATACGCCAATGAACTCACACAAAGTGAAGGTCAATTCTTAAATAACTCCATTTGGTATATGGTTATGTCGTTCAGATATTAGGCAGTATTTTGTTCGTTCACAGATTCCGTAAAGCTTGTAAATAAAAAAAAATAGTCGCACAGTACTTTTATTGGTGTACGATAAAAAGCGGAGAAATTTACTGTTTTTCAAGGCAGAAAAAAATCTCGGGCAACACTTAGAAGTGTATTTTTTTAAACCCGTTTAATATTTGCAGCTAACTTTACACCATCAAATAGGAAATTTAATATTCTCCACCTCTGCGTTTTTTTATAGCCAGAGGTACATCTAGTGCCGCGTGAGCACAATTCTCGCACAACCTTCACTTTTCCGATCTTAGGAAAATGTGCATCAGACAAAAAACTCGGCATCCAGCGGGTTAACCTAGAGGGACATATATGTCCCTCCTCTTCAGCCCTCACTTTGAAGTAGAATAGAGTTCAGCATATATCAGCTGACAAATAAATACACTTCACAGTTTTGAATTCCATTATATCCCATTAATGTAGCGGGATTATTGCTTATATAGTGGAATTATTGCTGATATGTAGCGGGATTATTGCTGATATAGTGGGATTATTGCTGATATAGAGCAATAATCATACTATATCAGCAATAAACCTCGGCATCCAGAGGGTTAAATTTCAGCAGCACTAATTTGCAACACATTTTTCCCTGTGTTGTACTTGCGTGTGCGTATATCATGAAGCCAGTATTGCGTCGCCCTGTGAATTACTGATGTCGTATTTAGTAGAGAAAACAGGCGGCAGCTTCAGTGTTTAGACCTAAGCCGGAATGCCGTGACGTCATAGACAGTGTGACGTCACTGTCACTGTACATTTGGCGCCACGTCAGCTGGGCGAACCTCGGCTCGGTCTGAGGTCACCGCGTTCAGCGAGATGTAAACAAACAGTTTCTTGCCTGTTTCATGACAAATAATAAACTTTTGACGTAAAATCAACAGGAAATATATTACGACCTGCATATATAAATCCCTAACGAGGTGCAGTGTTTACATACCACATCATCTCTATTTACACTCAGTTAACAATTTCTCTTACCTGATCATGAGAACTTCCAAACACAACAAATGACGAAATGTCTGAAAATGTTTGGGTCAACTGCAGTATTTGGGTCCCCACTTCGGGGGTTTCCGTAAGGAGACCGCTGCCTTCGGCAGCTTCGCTTATATATAAGCGCGCACGCGCAAGCGTGCTGAAATCCGTTAGGAGGCATTTTTTAGCAAAAAGGGCCCCAAAAATGAGATGGACGTGAAATATGGTCTAAACGAGTTTTACGATAGAGAGTGAAGCCGAATTATCGAACTGTCGACTTCTTGTTGTTTGTGGGCGGGACATAAATGACGTATGACGTCACGTGTCTGATCATGTGACTTTCCTTATATGGACTCGTTACTACGAGAATAACTTCGCTCATAATTTGTAAATTCATAAACTGTGGCTTGTACAAATAAAACAGAGTCGACTTGGAGTACAGTGATGACATCTTTGCATAGGTATGGGACGAATGCGGGAATGTAAGACAATTATTCTGTTCAAAACGTTATGAGAAAAGAAATATTTCAGTTGTTCAATTGATCAGTTTCTAAGTTCACCGGCCGTGTTTACATTTATTAAACTTAGGAAGCAAAATGATCGTTTAAGAAAAAGATGAAAAAGAAGCAGAAAAAGAAATTGAACTAGGTCTAGATGGATCCACAGACTTAGGTCCTAGAATCTATATGACAGTCAAAACGAATTCAACGTTTCAAATGATTTGTTTGAATGAGAAAGTATCTATCGATGATCATTTTCCTATGAAAATTCACATGCTTTCATAAAGGAAGTTATACCATAATGCGATTTATTTGAAAAAGGGGGATTCTCCCCCTTTACCCCCCGTATTTTACTTTAAAAATGTCATAAAAGTGGGGTTGTACCTGCCTTGACCACCACTGTGTTGTCCGCCCCACAAAATATATTGTTCAAGTATCAGAATGAACTTACCGTCGTGCGATTTATTTGGAAAAAGGGGGGTGTAATCCCCCTTTACCCCCCCCCCCCCCCCCCCCCCCCCACAATTTTTATTTCGACAAGAGGGGACAATCCACCCTTGAAGCCCCCGTGTGTTGTCTGTGTAACAAAATACTGAACTGCAGGCAGCGTTCGGTAGAAAAATGGCGGCCAACAAATTCTCTCGCTTCGACCGTAAATAACGAACTGCGCATGCGTGGAACGTTTTTCATTCGACAACTTCCGTAAACACGTAAAAACGTTCCTTCCGAAGTGGGGACCCTAATACTGCATTCTACCCAAATGTTTTTACAAGTTTTATTTATCTCCAAAGACAAACAGTTTCACATAAATAAAGACATATTTACAAACGACGACGTGAACGGCACGCCACGTCTCTGTCAGCGTCCTCCTCCACCGTCTACACAAACACGACACTGACATCACTGAGCGCCGCGGGACACGAGGAGATCCGCCACTCGCGGATATCCCCAGTCTCTCGCCACGTCGTCCGCCGTCTGCCCCGATTTGTTCCTGGCGTCGATGTCCACCACGTTCAGAGACAGCACCAACTTCACCGTCTCCAAGTCTCCTCCATAACAGGCGAGGTGGTGAAGGGTGTTGTCACCGTCCTCGTCCACCAGTGACACATCGGCCCCTTCACTTACCAGGAACTCCACCATGTCTCTGTGTCCCTTGTCTGCTGCCCTCATCACCGGTGTCATGCTCCGCCATCCTCTACTGTTGATGTCCACCACGTGCAGAGACAGCACAAACTTCACCGTCTCAAAGTGTCCTCCCATACAGGCGTAGTGGAGGATGTTGTCACCGTACTCGTCTACCAGTGACACATCGGCCCCTTTACTCACCAGGAGCTCAACCACGTCTCTGTGTCCCCCGCCTGCTGCCTCCATCACCGGTGTCCAGCTCCCCCCTCCTGTACAATTGACGTCGACGCCCAGAGACAGGAGCCGCTTCACCTCCTCCAGGTTCCCGTCCCTGCTGGCGTCATGGAGGCCCTCGCAGTCTGCTGGTGATGGAGTCGCTGTAACACAAAATAAACTCTGTACACATCCAGACATCTTTGTCATACATCTACATGGTTCACACCGCCCGTGTTGACACGTTACACAATACATCATCAAACACTTCCAACATGGCTGACAATACAAGGATCAAGGGGGAGGACGACAGCTGGTTCATGTAATCAAGGATTATGTATTCAATGTTTAAAATCTTTCTGTTACATCCAGTAGTTGTAATATTATTCTGTGTATGGGTTGGTGACCTGAGTTGATTAATGTCAGCCTGTTTGTTGTTTTACGCTGTACTCAGCAATACTCCAGCTATATGACGGTTAGTTGTAGAAACTGTTTGAATACAGGTTTATGGAGTGAGCTACCATCTGCTTGTTTCTTCGATCTAGGCTGTGGAGTTAACCTCGGGGTCACTCGACTCGGGTCACTCGATGCTGAAACACAGAATATGAAGTTCAGAAAACTATATATAGCACATAAACATTATAAATACTAGTACTGTCGGCAGACACATTATTGCCATTCGACAAATTGAGATTGTTATTCATCGACGCCGCGTGCCTACACGTTTGTTGGAATGAGTTTTATGGTAGAACTGTGACTGCAATTGTTGACTTGTTAGAAATTAAGAAAATAATAATAGATTTAATGTCTTTGTCAACCTGATGATTGGAGAGACTGTTTATATGCAGGGTTGTGGAGTGGGCTCTCTGGCTGATATGTGTTACACAGTTGGACAGTGACAATATCTACCACCTGCTGGGATCTTCCACCTACCGTGTAGAGCAGTCTCTTGTTGCGTCAGTTGGATATGTGACAGCCCCTCGATCTGTCCCGGATTTCTACTCGGGTGACTTGAGGCTGAAACAAAGAATATGCTGTTCAGAAATACTGGCCACAGACATTTGCATTTGCACAAATGTGTTGCCTTTTACAATATTAACTGAAGAATTAGATTTAAAAAAAACATTTGTTAAAAATACACGATAGCGTAATGATTGACAAATCCCTTAAATTAGATTTAGATGTTTGTTCATCTGCCTCGAGTGTCTATATACAAAAACCTCCTCAGTCCAATTTCTAAGGTTTGAATCTAAGTGTATTAAGCTATGTAAAACATAAGTGTCACTTCACTCAAAGTAAAATCAGATCGAAAACAAAAAGCAAAACAGAATATGTGTATTATTTTGGAACACCCCACGAAGTTTCAAACAGCTGTATGCCTAGACACCAACTGTTTCAGTCCAGTGGTCCTTATATACTGATAACATGTAGCAAAACCCTTGATAATGGCAGTTTGGACTGTAGGACTATAGGACTAAGGCCAATTTCTAACTCTGGGTTTAACATCAGCTACCTATTCATTATTTCAATTGATGCAATGATTAGTATTTTAGTTTGAATTAATTAATTCTGGGGGTAATTGTTATCACATCGTTGATGCGTTATTTCGTTGCGGCAAAACTTCTGCATATGAATATCAATAGCAAACCTACATTGTACATACAGGTCAAATACTAAACATTGTTTTCTTATTTATATTGGCACTCGTGAAGAGCAACCTCCTCGTGGTGAGTGCTGGGTAGCGCTAATAGCTCTTCCCCCGTGCGGAACCGGGGCAGAATATTTCCACAGCCTCCCATTGCTGGTCGTATGAGGCGACTAAAATGGGCAACCTGTTTGCCGTGGGTTGCGTCCCTGTGTCGGCGGAGGACGGGAGTCTGGTAGTTGAGGGCACTGGTTCCTGGAACTGTGTTCCTTTGCCCAACACACTATTTCGACCCTTACTTCGCCTAGACGGGTGGTAAGATGGGCCCGGTCTTATCAATCGGCTGGTCATGCCAGGCCCTGTGCGTAATATTGTATATGCACACCTGTGTTGTATTTTACTGTATATTTTGGTCTTGGCCGTGCATAACTTGTGTGAATACTCAATTTTGGATGTAATAAATTGCCTAGAGTCTTACGCCAGAAGGCGGTGGCTCATGGGCCAATCTGGTGATGTTGACCTCTGTATTCTTTATGTCTCCAGTTTCTTGTCATGGACTGAACCTGCCTGGCACTACATCTGGTAGATAAATATAGCTATTCAAGTCATATTTGCTGGAGTATAACATCCCTGTATCCCTGGTGTTTGCATCCTGGATATCAGGTGCAATATAACACTGTCCTTGTTGACACTCGATGGCGGGTGGGGAACAGGGGTGCTGAATTATATTCTTTTCATCATGGCTCAACAACAATCTGGTTCTTCTCGAAATGAAAAAAAGAGACGTCTAGAGGAAATTGAAATTACAACTGGAAATGTTTCTCAAAATATTGATTCCTGGGCTCGATTCCTGGTAATTGAGGCTGCTGACAAACTACCCATCAAATTGAATCCTTTTGCCATATCTAAGGCTGTGTCTGGGATTTGCGGTGAGGTCAAGAACGTCACACGTCTCCGTAGTGATTCGCTTCTGGTGGAGTGTGCACGGAGACAGCAATCTCTCAATCTTTTATCTATCTCTACCTTTGCCAATATTGAGGTTGCTGTGTCTGTGCACAGAACATTAAATTCTTGTCGAGGCATTGTTCGTGACAGAGCTCGTTGTCTGTCCGACATGTCTGAAGAAGAAATCGTTACAGAGTTGGGAGACCAGGCCGTTACTGAAGTTAAACGTTTCACAATGAAGAAAGACGGTGTCATCACAAACACTAATACTTATCTCATAACGTTTGCCCGTACATCCCTTCCACAGTCAATTAAAGCAGGTTATATGAACATCGGAGTGGATGTGTATGTCCCCAATCCGCTCCGATGCTACAAGTGCCAACATTTCGGTCACGGTTCCAAATCCTGTCGCAACTCTGTGGTATGTCATCGCTGTGGTGACAGCCATGAGAGCTCTGACTGTGATCATGATTTGAAGTGTGCAAACTGTTCTGGCCCACATGTTGCTTCGTCAAAATCTTGCCCTGTGTGGCAAATGGAATCTAAAATAATGAAACTCAAATGTGAAAGAAACATATCCTACCTGGATGCCAAAAAACTATTTAAAGATCAGACCACGACTCCATCTACCATTTCCTACTCTGCTGCAGTCTCTCGCTCTGTAGCAACATCCTCTATTTCGTGCCAGACTGACTTGACATGGGTCAAGTCAGAAAAACCTGTTGCTACTATTCAACTCACTGAACATATTACTGCCACTCACTCTAGTTCAGGATCTCAAACTGAGATTCAGCCTGAGAAACATTCTCAAACGTCGAAATCAGTCGAAAAAAGGGAAAAAGAAATTGAATAGAAAACAAGCACCGATCGTCCCTTCACCTTCAGAGGTTCCTTTACAGAACTCATTTGGGCCTCTGGATATGGAGGTTACTCTGTCCTCACCGGACAGGCGGAGGAGTAGTTCCTCCTCACATTCACGCGAGCGATCTCCAATTGAGCCACCATGACTCAATTGTCCAACATAATACAGTGGAATTGCAGAGGACTTAGGCATAATTTTAATGAGATACAATTATTAATACAGGATTTTCAACCGTCAGCATTGTGTCTTCAGGAAACATACCTGAAAACTACAGATCAGTTCACCTTACGACAGTACAATGACTATCATTCATTTTCTCCTCCAGGAGATAAAGCAACGGGAGGCTCTTTATCTTGGTGCGACAGGGGATAATACATAGTCCTGTCCCTCTTAATACCAATCTTCAAACTGTTGCTGTTCGTCTGACTCTGCACATTGCTTTTACGCTGTGCTCTTTGTATATCCCTCCTTCTTCTGATCTTCGACGGTCTGATCTTCAAAGTCTGTATGACCAGCTCCCAAAGCCCTGCATCATCATGGGTGATCTGAACGGACACAACCCGCTTTGGGGAAGTGCAAATACCAGTTCTAAAGGAAAAATCGTTGAGGAATTTATTTCTGACAACAACCTGTGTATTTTTAATTATGATTCTGCCACATATTTACATCCAGCCACTGGAACTTATTCTGCCCTCGATCTGTCACTCACAGACTCAAACTTGTATAATGAATTTGCATGGTCAGTCCATGATGACCTGTGTGGGAGTGATCATTTTCCCACAGTTCTTAAAACTGTTAATCCTACTGATGAGCTACCATCATGCAGATGGAACTTTACCAAGGCTAATTGGTCCTTATATGAGGTACTGTGTACTGACACAATAAAACATCACATTTTCCAGAATATTCCAGATCCGATACAGTTGTTTTCGGATTTACTGAATGACATTGCTGACCAAACCATTCCTAAGTCCTCTGAGAATCCCCATATTCGTAAACCATGGTTTACAAATGACTGCAAACAGGCCAGAAAGTGTAGGAAGAAAGCAGAAAAATATTTTCGCCGACATCCTACAGTCCATAATTTGGATAAGGTTCAAATTACAAATGCCAAGGCACGACGTGCTTTTAAACAAAACAAGCGACAATCTTGGAGGAACTATGTCTCCAAGATAAATTCCCGTACACCCATGTCCAAGGTGTGGAACATGGTTCAGAAAATAAAAGGCAAAGGCTCAAAATCTTCTGTTCATCATCTTAAGGATGGTGATCAGTTATTAACTTATAAAACTGACATTGCAAATAAGCTTGGAGAAACGTTAGCAAAACATTCTTCAACATCAAATTATGTCCCAGAGTTTCAAAAAACTAAGAAACAACAGGAAAAGATCAAAGTAAATTTCACTTCTGATAATGGTGAAGACTATAATGAAGTCTTCTCATTACATGAGCTACACACCGCCCTTGAGCAAGCTCATGACACAGCAATGGGTGCTGACAACATACATTATCAGCTTTTAAAACATTTACCTAAATCCTGTCTGGAGACACTTTTAGATATATTTGATCAAATATGGATATCTGGGAATTTTCCTCCTTCATGGCATAATGCCATTGTAGTTCCAATACCAAAGCCTGGCCGGGATCATACAGATCCCTCTAACTATAGACCTATATCCTTAACAAGTTGCGTGTGTAAAACCATGGAACGAATGGTGAATAATAGATTAATTTGGTATCTGGAAACCAATAATCTAATTACAAATATCAAATGTGGTTTCAAAAAAAATCGAAGTACTATCGACCATTTAGTACGCTTAGAATCCTTTGTGAAAAATGCTATTGTAAACAAACAGCATGTAGTGTCAGTCTTTTTCGATCTTGAAAAGGCCTATGATACTACGTGGAAGCACGGCATTCTAAAGGATTTACATGATTTTGGTTTGAGAGGCCGTTTGCCTCATTTTATATCACAGTTTTTAACTGACAGACAATTTCAAGTCCGAGTGGGTTCAACCCTGTCTGACCATTATACTCAGGATCAGGGTGTCCCACAAGGCAGTATTTTGTCTGTAACATTATTTAGTATCAAGATAAACAGTCTGTCAAAAGTTTTGAAGGATTCCGTTGATGGGTCGTTATTTGTGGACGATTTTAACATTTCTTGTTGCGGGAAAAACATGAACACTATTGAGAGACAATTGCAGTTGTGTCTCAATAAAATCCAAAAATGGTCCCTTGCTAACGGCTTTAAATTTTCTAAAACAAAAACTAATTGTATACACTTCTGCAGGAAATATAGACAGCACAAGGACCCAGAACTGTTTCTATCTGACACACCCATAAAGGTAGTTGAGGAGACTAAGTTCTTGGGGCTTATTTTTGACCGCCACCTGACATTCTTGCCACATATAAAATATCTCAAGGCAAAATGCCTAAAAGCATTAGACTTATTGAAAGTCGTCTCAAACTCCAAGTGGGGCGGGGATCAGACAACCCTTCTCCATTTATACAGATCTTTGATCCGCTCAAAATTGACTACGGTTCCATCATTTATGGTGGAGC